GGCTTCAGGGAAGTCGCATGAACAGCACACCTCCCTCTGACCTCTCCCTTCCCCCAGTGACCCAGCCTCCACAGTACAGTACCTTCCACACACCAACACGACATGTTCAGGTAAGGACAACCACCCTTTCATGACTTCATGTAATATGGGTAGAAAGACGTTAACTATTCTGTAGGAGGATGGAACTCAAAGTGAAACAACTGCCTGAGAGCCGGGGGTGTGAATGGAAATCTGTCACGAAGCTAGAAGAAACGCAGTCTGCCCAGGAAGCCCATAGGAACACTCCTCATCTCCACAAGAGGAGCCACATCTGGAATTCTAAAAGGCCCTTACTGATCTTCTCATCGTTCCGTGCTCCCTTGTATCCTTTCAGCAGAGGCTTCCAGTCTGGACAGTTTGCCTATTCTCAGCTAACCCCATCACGAGGACCAATGAGCTACAGAAAAATAACTTGCAGTTTTCACCGGGGTTCAAATTTCTACATTCAAAGCTTTTAAGGAAAGCCCTTGAACTCGAGGCCACCATGGCCTGGATTTAACCATGTGGAAAAAGGACTCCACTTATACACCAGTATCTGCAGGAAGAGCACTCTGGAACTTCCATTCCTGGACGCTGCCCCTCTGCCTGATCACCAGCACACAGACCTCCCAAACAGTAAGGGCTCAAAGTTGCTACAGACTCTTTAAGGTTCCACTTCTGGGGTTAACCTCATCCCCTGTGCTTGCTTTCAACCTCCCACTAGCCGGGTCCTGTGGGGTGGGGAGCTTCTCGGCCCAGCCGCTTACCGTGGGCTCCATGCCATCCACAATACTCTGTATCAGTCTCTTGAGCTCACTGAGGGCCGTGCGCAAGCTGCCGGCTGGCACGTCCTTGGCAGATGAGGTTTCCGAAGACTCATCCATCGAGGAGTCCGTGGAGACGGCCGAGTCAGCGCTGTCGTTCCCCCGGAGGTGCGAGCAGAGATAGCGGACCTGGCAGTAGGCCTCCCAGAGCTGCAGTCTCAGCTGCCCCACAGAGAATTGTTCCTGGTTATGGGCTCTAGGGAGGACCGCCCCCACTCATCTCGTCCTAGTGTAGGAACCCAACATGCTGACACTCAAGAGCCTAGTTCTGGCAGAAAGACTTTTTCTTTTTTAAATCACCTGTCCCAAGAACTATGGATACTTATGCTGGGCCTAGTACGTCTATACGGACTCCCAGTTCTTAACTCTCCAGCCCTCTACCCATCTCCCATTTCTCTATACAGTCGGATACTGTGGTGGGAATCATGATTAGGGGAATGAGTGGTTGTGAGGAGAATGAAAAAAAGCCAACTGGATGGATCATGAATGTTCTAGAGCCCAGTCAATGCAAGAGGCATGAGGCTGAGGATTAGCCGACAAGCATTTCCTAAGAGGCACTGGGTAACAGTGAGCCAGAGACATGCTCCGGTCAGGGCCTGCTTCATGACAGCTCCAGCCAGCAGGCCTGGGCTCACACAGGCGCAGGGCCACAGGCCCTTGCCAGGCTGGAGCTGGAACAATAGGAACTGGACAAGGGAGGGCTGACGGGCTCCTGAAGTCCCCAGGCAATCTCGTGTGCTGGACTGATGGGGCATCAGCACCTGTTCTCTCTCTTGCTCCAGTTCCTCAGCCTCCATGCTCTGTTCGATCTCGGACAGGAGGGACGTGCTGGTGGCGGCGGAGCTCTGCAGGCTCCTCTCCTCGGTGAGCTCCTCCACCTTCACCTGCAGCTGTCGGTAGGAGAGCCGCACCTCCTGGAGCTCCAGCTGGCTTTGGTGCAGCTTTCAAAGAGACAGCAAAAGGTAGTGAGCGTTCCCCGACCACAAACAAATGAGAAAAACTGCTCCGAAACCTGATCACACTTCTAGGTCCAACCACCAATTTACAGAAAAATACAGAGGAGAGAAGAACATGCTAGATTGCATCAGGGGTGTGCAGGCAGTAAACTCCAGATTTGGGAAATTCTACAGGACAAACAGCTCAGCTTCTTTACGATGTATATTTTAAGAAAAAAAGATAAAGGTCTGGAACCTATAGGTTAAAAGGAGACTTGAGAGACATATCAACCAACTGTAGTGTGTAGGCCTATTTTAACTTGCATCTTGATTCAAGTAAAAAATGTGAGGAGCAACTGGGACATTTATGAGGCAGTTACGAATTTGAACACTGGGTATTTGAAATTAAGAAAATACTGCTGGATGAATAACGTGGATGAATTTCATAGACATAATATGTCAAGCAAAAGCCTGACAATAAACAATATATAATGTGTAATTCAAGTACGAAAGTTCTAAACCTTCCTCCAGATACAAAAGATGCAAGTGGAAGAGAGGTCTGCTTTTGACCAAGTGTCAGGTACTGACCAGGAGGTGCAAGAGGGAGGCCTGTAGGATACAGATAATGGGCTTTATCTTCATCTGGGGGGTGTTACACGGGGATGGATGGATATATATATATATATATATATATACATATATATATATCACACGCATATATATACATGTATATACATATATGTATGTATTTTAATGTTTGATTTATTTTTGAGAGAGAGAGCACAAGCAGGGGAAGGGCAGAGAGAGAGGGGGACAGAAGATCAGAAGAGGACTCTGTGCTGACAGCAATGAGCCCAATGTGGGACTCGAACTCATGAACCATGAGATCATGACTTGAACCAGAGGTGGATGCTCAATGGACTGAGCCATGCAGGTGCTCCATGGGGGTATATATCTGTAAAAATTCACTGGGCTGTCCACTTAGGATTTTTATGTTTTGCTGTATGTATGTCGCATTTAAAAAAAATTTTTTTTTCAACGTTTATTTATTTTTGGGACAGAGAGAGACAGAGCATGAACGGGGGAGGGGCAGAGAGAGAGGGAGACACAGAATCGGAAACAGGCTCCAGGCTCTGAGCCATCAGCCCAGAGCCTGACGCGGGGCTCGAACTCACGGACCACGAGATCGTGACCTGGCTGAAGTCGGACGCTTAACCGACTGCGCCACCCAGGCGCCCCTGTATGTCGTATTTTAATGAAAAAAAAAAAATGAAGGGGAAAGGGTCTGGAAAGACACTGGGGATCGGATTTGGAAAAATATGTGAGTAGAAATACCAAGAATTCCCAAACCCAGGAGAAAAGCGGTCTCTGCTATTTTGTGTGTCATACCTCACAGTTTACAGGTAAAGCCCCAGGCCTGGGAAGAGCCTTACACAGCATGTAAGGCTCAGAGAAGGAGAGGGATGCCAGTGGTGGAGAGGACAGCAATGTAGTTTTCATGGCTTACAGCCAGGGCTCCTTCTTTCTCTTGCTGCCGCTACTTCACCCCTCTCGGCGTTCTCTGTGGCCCCTTTCTCGTGGAGTCCAAGCAGGGCACCGCTACCCGGTGAGGTTCCTATTGCTGGAGGTAAGACACGACTCCACCATGGCTGCTAAATGCCATGCTCTACTAGTGCACTCCACCACTACACTTGCTTTAACACACGGACCCTGCCCATAGAACCTTCATCTGTTTGCACTTGTCTGCATACTACACCTGCACAGGAGCAATGTCTTCTGCTCTTGTATTTGTGGATTGCCCATCCCTCCCTTGTAAAAGATTTTTTGGAAGTTGGGGATGGGGAAAGAATGTCCTGGGATTTAAATGTAACTAATTTATCCTTTCATTAGATAGAATTTCTGGGGTCACCCCTGTTCGTTAAAAATAGAGCAGACACTGTCCTGTTTGTTGCAGACTGCAGGCCAGGTAAGCCGTGGCTCCTGCAGAGATGCAGACACTGAGCAGCAGTGGGTGGCAACTCGGAGCTCTGCAGTTCTCATGAATGGAGGAGGCTGCCTCTCAGAGCATCCACTCGGATCCTTTAGATGCCCGAGGGCTTCACCTCTGCTGGTCAGGAGCAGACCGTGGTTGGCTAACAGCACCAGTGATCTGGATGTGCCTTAACTCAGAAGAGCCGGTGCCTGGCTGCTAAGAGAGGGAAAAAGGCCCTGGCAAGTCTGCTCTGCGTGGTTCCCATGCATCAGCAATACCTGCTGGTCCAGTGGGAACTCCTCCAGCCCCAGTTTTGAGAAAACTCAGAAAGAAGAAATTAGGGTTAAAAAAAAAAAAAAAAGAAAAGAAAAAGGACATTCCTAAGAAGCATTTGGCACAATTACAAATGGCATACTAAGTTGGCAAAATGCTTTACAATTATTTTCTAGATAACTTCACATACATCTCAGCAGGAGAAGTTCAGCACAGACAAGAACAAGTTCTTATGCACTGGACAAAATTAGTTCAATTACTCATGCGCACTTCAGGGTGCTTAATTAATTATAACAGCAAGAGAATCAAAGACCAAGACAGGTCTGCCCTGTCTGGTCAATAACTGGTCCAGAAACATATGCAGAAAACAACACATCAGAGGAGGCTTAAATAGAAGAAACCTCTAAAATAAGGAATATCATCCTTTATATAAGAAAGATGTCACTAAATATATTTATATATCTATCAACAAGGAAGACACCAAATCCTTGTTGTACAGCACACTGAGCTTATGACACTCATGCCACCAGAGGTGGCAGAAGTGGGAGCACTCTCTTGTTTCACACTGAGGGAACAAAGATGGTATGATGTTAAGTGTCAGAGCAAGGTCTACACTGCAGGCCACCTGCTCCTGGGTCACCCCACAGTGAGTGGAGCCTACACTTCCCAATGATGAAATCCACCTACTCACTGGGACAAGGTCCCTGCACACATCTGTAAGATGCCCATGTAGGTATAAATCAGAGAAGGACAGACAGAATACTTTACTGGGTATTAAGAGTTTAGCAAAATGCCCAATTTTTCAACTTACTGGGTATTCAAAAAATAATTTTTATCCCTATTCTTGGCCTGAAAAAGAAATGACGGTTGGATTTAATCAGTGGTTTAAAAATCATTGTTAGGCAGTAGAACCCCAACTAGATAGTGAACCAGATTAAAGCGGGGCTACCCTGGCTGTGCAGGCCTGTTGCTCTGCCTACTTAGACTTCCTTTTGTCCTTTATCTGAAACAAAGGATTAAAATCGTGGAATTATATACATTCCAAAGCCATCAACTCTATATTTTGCAAGTCTGATTTAGGACCTCTCAACTACTGAGTGAGCTGGAATTCTTATTTCTGTATCAGTACAGGCTATGTTAGCAACAGAAAGGGCTTTCTGGAAGACACTGGTAATTAGCAGCAGCTTAAGGAGAATCTCCTATGAGCTAAAGGAAAAAAAATCACAAAAAGGTGGGAAAGATAAGAATTCAGCCCATAAAAGCAGATTTTCCAAATCAAAGTGTGAACTGCCTGATGTGATATATAGGCCATGGGGTGAGTGGCCCAATGGAAAGACAGTGGATGTGCAGACATTGAGGACATGAGTGTGTGTGATGTGGGGCTCTTGCTGCTGGAGAGCACACAGCTCACTGTGCGAGCCAGGTACTAGATGGAGCATGCTGGTCCCATTCTTCCCTGTCCTGAGGTCCCCAGTTCTTGATTTGAAATAACGGACTTCTCATCTGTGAATTCCAGCTAGACTGAATGAAAGTGTCCTTTGGGCAGGGGTCACTTCCCCATTCTTCTGTGTTTCTTTGCCTTCTCCTCCACACTCTACCTCAGCAACCCTCCTCAGCAGAGTGCTTGATAGGGTCAGAAATTCTGGTGAAACACTGACCTGCAGAGGCATGGAATGTGCTAGATGCTGTCAATGAGAATTACATGAAGCAGGCGTGGGGGGCTCTGTTTTTAATTCGACCAAGGATTACTTTGGTAAATGATTCACTTTTTCCTAAGCCTCAGTTTTAGAATGTATGCAAAAGCACTGTGTTCCCTATAAAGTATACAGGTGTTCACCACTATTATCATCATCCACCTTAGAAGATGAGCAAACTCCTTTCCATCTTGAAAATGGCCGTGAGGCTTTCACCAGCACCATTTTCTAATCGACATTTATGGGAAAAAACGTGGAGGGTCATAAACTGCTCATTTGTGCTTGAAGAGGTTAATCACTCAGACGGCAGCTTAGCTGATGGTGTCAATAACAAGTGATACTGGCCTAAGATGTTTCCTTATCCCATGTCCTAGAGCTTTCCTCACCAGCTGACCACCGAGCCCAGTGGGGTCTGCCACAGCCTGGTCTTTGGGGGAGGGACCTGACTGGTGCTTCAGCACACCTGGCTGACCGCCTCCACACCAACAACTCTGTCGCCATCCCCCCCACTCCCTGGCACTCAGAGGATGTCCAAGGGGGAGAAACATGCTCTTAGCCACTGGCCCCAGGTGCTCCTAGGCCAGTGTGGGAAAGCTTTCTTCGCAGCAGGTGTTACACTCTATTTCTGTAGAGGCCAGCAGCGATTGTCTTTTTGTTTAGAGGGTTGTCAAGTGTGAGCCTGGGGATTTAGCTGAGGACTGGTGGCAGGTCCCAAATAAGGACAAATATGAACATGAAGCAATTTCCTTTAGGAAGAAAAAAGAGGCCAATTAGGCTCACAAAGGAGGTTTGGCCTGTGCCTTTTCTAGCAACTGCTGGAAGAAGGATGTAAGTCTTGCTGTGTTCAGTGGGCAGCTTCTTGATTTCTGCTCAGTGCAAGCCAACTAAATGCATCAGTCTGGGAAAGCAGCAGCAGAGAGCATTGAGAGCCAAGTACAGAAAGTCACAGGCTCCCTCTGAAATCTCTAGCAGATTTCACAAACCCTAGGAGGCAGAATGACACTCCCCAAGTTCCAGTCATGTTAATAGTCCAGAAAGAACTCTCTGAAACTGCTCCAGAGGCCAGTGGCTCAGAACAAATTGGAAGGGTAACCTGTGGGTAGCAATGCATTTGTCTTCAGCAGAGCCAGGCTGGCCAAGTTGGTGAGCACTCAAGGAGAACTTCAACAGGGCCAACAGAGAGCTCGGCTTTCCCCTCTCCTGAACCCCACAGTGGCACTGGCCTCCCAGCTTTCCTTCTGGCTGGGCAGCTAAGTGCCCCTTTCACCTGGCCCTAGTTCTACAGGACAGCTTCTCTGCCTCAGTACCTGGAGGTCTTTGTCGTGGCCTTGCCTCTCCAGGATCAGCACCCGGTCCTGTAGCTCCTCCACAGTCCCCTGGAGCAGGTCGTTTTCCTCTAAGGTGGCACTGAGACGATGCTCTAGCTCCCGTTTCCGATCCGACAGCATTTTGATCTGAAAGGGTGGAGAGTCACAGGGTGGTGTGCAGTTACACCCAGGCTGATGAGTAGGAAGGGAGGAACTAGCCCCAAACATGAAGGCCTATGTCTCTCCAAGTGCTCTGCCCAGGGGCCTGGTGCCCCCATCTTTGAGAGAACAGCTGTGAACTCCCAAGATGAAGAGAAAACCCCTCCCTTCTAGAAACGTGTCTGGGAAGGGGTGGGAGATGAACTCTGGGGAAGCTGGAATGTGGGATGCCAGGAAGAGGAAGGGAAGGGTCAGTGTTCTGGAAATTCCACAGATAAGACAGAGAAGGGCTCCACCTTGCCTGCCCATGACTTTACCTCAACCCCACAATTTCTGGGGGAGTGGAGCCTAACCCATGGTTCCATTCTTCCTTCTCAAGTCATAAGCACAAGAAAATGCCCGAGACAGCCCAGTGAGCTGCTGTATTCTCATACTTCACAGCTCTCTTCTGTACTTCCCCCCCACAGCTAACAGACCTGGCTCTAGAGGTCGCAGCTCAGACCTGGTGCCCCAAATTAATGGGGGAGTTGGTGGGGTACAGAAGGCAAAGCAGTGCCTGCATCAGTCTGTGTCCTGGGAAGGAGCAGGACACAACACAAATCAGTAACTGATTTTACTCAAAGTGTCGTTTTGCCTGAGCAAGTAAATTGTGACTAGAAGCAATTTCGCTCCTCTTATTAAACAGACTGGTATGTTTGTACACTGTGTATCTAGCCAGCCTCAAGAGATATAAATCTGCTTTCAGGAAGGTCTGTCTAGTCTCTTCAATGTCAGTAAGAAAATAAAGGATAAGAGGAAAGAGATGCCAAGTCTTCTGGACTCAAGGTGTGTAGGCTCAGTAGGTGTGCTGGGGCTCCACAAGGCCGACAATGCTTCACCCCGAGAACACTGCTGGGGCTAACGGGCTACAGAAGCCTTCCCAAGTTGTGCAGGGTCCCCTGGCTCCTCCTATTTATCAGGTCCCTGCTGGATTGATCTCTCAACCAGCTTCTTGCTCCCAACATGGTTAAGATGTTCTCGGTGCTCTCCAGTTTGGCCTGGAGAACAATCTATTAAGAGAACCAACCTCCTACCCTTTCCTGGGGAGATTTGAAAATGAATGTCTGATGCGTCTGAGGTTCTCTGAAATCCACCTTTCCTTCTGCTTTTTGTCTATTCTCTGTCTCCACACTAGAATTCTGTTCGTAGGGTACAGATCTTCCCTGGCCACCAATCAATCAGATAAGATGCTGTCCTGGGGAAATGAAGTATGTGGCCTTTGTCCAGAGAGATCAGGTATCTAGCCAAACAAAGACATACTGTCTCTCAAGTGTGCACCTGGGTAAGGGACCAAAAGGAACAGGTCCTTTTTGTGAATGGGGCCACTATTCCCCACACTGAAGCACATTACCCACATGAAGGGAATTCTTACTCTAGGTGATTTTCATTTAAATACCCTCCAACCTTTACATTTTCCTTCCATGGATAATCTTTGTTTCTCAAGTTCCAGTCAGTGAAATAATGAGGTAATACAGTTGTGATATACAATCCTGGCCCCTTAAAAAAAAAAAAAAAAACTTTAGAAGTTCAGAGCTACATGAAGTAATGTACTTGGACAATTTCATAGGCTGCCTTTTTAAAGTAGCAGTGGTACTGAATGAAGGCATCGATATTAGATGACAACTCCCTCACCCCACCCTATGCACTGAACTTGTGACCAAATCTGCCAGTTAACGTTCCTGGGAATGACCCTGAGTCACAAGGGTCTTGAAATAGTGAGCAGAGGCGAGAGGAAAACAGGCAACTTGAAGGAGTCAGAGCTTGGCAAAGGCGGTGGGACAGAAAGTCATGCACACAAGTGGTCACACACAGGCATGCCGAACCCCGCCGGAACAAGCTACTTACTTCAAGAACCTGCTGCTCAATACCAGTAGTATTTCCAAGGGGAAGGAGAAAGGAAGGGAATGATAGGCAGGAGAAAAGAGAAGATATTGACAGACTTTAGGAAAAACATCTTCAGGTCATTTCCAAAGCAGGGGAGCAGCCACCTGGGCTTCTCTGCGCCTGACCACACCGACGGATTCCTTAACCACAGCGGGGGTGCACATTCATCTGGCCCTAGACCCTTAGACTGTCCCCTCAAGTGTACCTTAGCCAAAGGGTTGCTGTCCAGACAACTGGCTTAGGGCCCCTCAAGATCAGACTAGGTAGATGCCGCCCTGGGGAAGAGCCCCTGTTTGGGCTGCTGATACGACTTCCCTCTTCTCCCCTCCCACAATTGGGTTCTCACAGAGTTGTCCTCTAAGTGCTACTTTTTCTTTCCCTCTGGCCTACTCAGGGCCATAGACCCTGACTGCCATGCTCTGGCCTCTCATACACTTTTAACAACATTACTTGATTCTAAGTACCACACGAGGTGCTTTCCATGTATTAACTCATCAAACACAACAGTCCTATGAAGTAGCTACTTTATGACTCTCATAGGTGAGAATTACAATAGGTCCCAATAAGGTGGACTGAACTGGACCTACATGGAATAGAGAAAGGGAAAATCCTCTTCCCCATCCTCTATTTAGGATTGGCAAGGACGTTTGTGGACGGATTAATATGTTCAGTAAAAGCGGGTCATTTGTGATTTCAACACACTCAGCAGTGACTCTGAGCAACCTTCTTCTTCCAGACAACAGGCAACCCAGTGCAACATGAATCAAGTGTTCCCCATTTAGTTTCTTACAGATACATCTCTAGAGACTTTTAACTATTTTTAGAGACTGTAGACAAAACAAAGTTTTATTTCCCAGTTCAGGGGCTCCTTATCCACCAGATCCAGTACAGCGCCTCTAACGAGAAAAGCACTTCCATCTCCAAGCAGTGCCACACAGGCGGACTCACCTCAGCCTGAAGGCTTTCAAGCCTGATGATGTGCTGGTTAGTCGAGGAGTTTTTCTCCCGAAAGTCTTCTCTGAGGGCATGGACTTGCATGGAGAGCTGTCTCTCAACTTCTGAGGCCTGCAAGCAGAAGAGACCTTCAGGGTAGATTCGGAGGCTGTGCAAAGGAAATCTGTTAAGATCTCAGCCTTTCCTTTCCCAAGCATCTCTTTACAACTTCCTACTCTAGAAGGAGTATAGGATGAAATGCGGGTCCATGTAGTCCCTAGTACCCAAACAAGACAAACATCCATGTCTACTTCCACTACGGGGGGAGTTTATCTTGGTAAAGACCACTTTGCCTGTCAGGGGAAACAGGCCTAAGAAACAGCAAGGTCTCAAATGTTAAGTACCATCATTATCACTCTGTACACAACAGAAGTTCAGCAAACATCTACTAAATAGAGAAAAAGTCTCTGTTTTACGTGAAAGAATAAGGCAGATAGATATACCTACTACCTTAGAAATTCCTTTATTTCTCTCATCCATTTCCTCAGTAAGGCCCAAGTGAATCATCTCTGTCTACATTTCTCATTTCCATTCAACATAGGCACTATTTGAAGTTCCCTGTCACATGTTAAGATTTTTTTCTTAAGATTTTATTTTTAAGTAATCTCTACACCCAATGTGGTGCTTGAACTCACAACCCTGACATCATGAGTTGCATTATCCACCAACTGAGCCAGCCAAGCACCCCAATGTCTGTTAAGATTTTTGCCATTCTTTCCTCAAGGACATCTTGGCAACTTTTTTTTTTTTAAGTTTATTTATTTTGAGAGCGAGCGAGCACAAGTGGGGGAGGGGCAGAGGGGGGAGGAGGGGAGAGAGAGGGGGCAGAGAGAGGGGGGAGACAGAGAGAGAGAGGGAGGGAGGGAGGGAAGGAGGGAGGGAGGGAGGGGAGACAGAGAGAGAGAGAAAATATGAATCCCAAGCAGGCTCCAAGCTGCAAGCACAGAGCTCCACATGGGGCTTGAACTCACAAACTGTGAGATCATGACCTGAGCCAAAATCAAGAGTCAGACACTTAACCAACTGAGTCACCCAGGCATCCCCATCTTTTGCAACTTTTAATTCTCCAGGGGAGTGCTGGCTGAGACGCTTATTTCCAACCCTAATCCACTTATTTTCTAATGCTCAAACACAGCAGAACACCAACGACATTTAGTGTGTCAGCACCTTCTCTTGAACATGCAGGAGAGTGTTTTGAAAGAATGCTCCCTTGATAAGACTTGAACTCTGGTCTTTTTCTTGGGAGTCCAGCCTAGCTCCCAGTGAGGGGAGCCCTGAACACTGCCTGGTAGAGAGAAGAACCATGGGACAGGTTAAATAACGGCCTCAGTGCTTTTCTGAGGCCAGATGGGGTCAGTAGGCTTAATGAGTTCTTGGGAATGATCACCATGTGTTGAAATGGTTAGGAAAGGCTTCTGGAGGAAGTGGGATGGTAATGATGTTGACTTCGTAGGCTAGCTGTTCAGTGAGGCTCTCATATTAATAGATACATGTTCAATAGTTATTTTCATCTTCAAGGGCTGTATAAGCAATTGTCCATCTTAGGTTTGGTCCCATAGATTCAACTATTGCTCCCTTAGACTAGAGAGCCATATAAGGATCTCAGCCTATAGTTCTAATTTTTAAACAACAGTTACAAAACACACAAACTAAAAGCAAACCATCTCGTTTTACTTATTCTAAATTTAATTTTGGACACCACCAGCTTGTTGTAGTTTCTTAATCACTCAGAAACACAATGTTAGACATCCTTGCTTAAAAATAACATTAGTAGGGGGCACCTGGGTGGCTTAGTTGGTTGAGGGTCCGACTTCGGCTAAGGTCATGATCTCGCAGTTTGTGAGTTTAAGCCCCGTGTCAGGCTCTGTGCTGACAGCTCACAGCCTGGAGCCCACTTCGGATTCTGTGTCTCCCTCTCTCTCTGCCCTCCCCTGCTAATGCTCTCTTTCAATAATAAATAAACGTTAAAAATTTTTTTAACAAAAAATAACATTAGTAATATGTACTGAGTAATTATGATGTGCCAAGAACTGTGCTAAATGCTTTCAATGCATTATCTCAATTGTCACAGCCAAAGGAGTGGTTATCCAGCTCAATTTACTAACGAGGGAACAGACTCAGGGAAATGAAAGAACTTGTCAAACTCTCAGTAAGTGACAAGATCAGAATGGTAAATGTGGGGCTGTCTTGTCCCCAAATGAGGACTTGGATGCAAGCACACCCTGTCTTGCTGCACTTCACTTCATTACAGACAGTGTTCTTCACAAATGGGAGGTTTGTGGCAACCTGCATTGGGCAAGTCTACCAGTGCCATTCTGCCAACAACATTTGCACACTTCCTGTCTCACGTGTGAGAATTTTGGTAATTCTCTTGACGTATTTCAAACTTTTTCAGTATTACTGTATTTGCTATGGCGATCTATGATCAGTGATCCTGGATGGTACTATGGTAACTGTTTTGAGGTGCCATGAAATGTGCCCATTTGAGAGGACAAACTTAATAAATGTCGAGTGTGTTCTGACTGCCCCACCGATTGGCTGTTCCCCCGTCTCTCTCCCTCTCCTCGGGCTTCCCTATTCCCGGAGATACAACTATATTGACATTAGGTCAGTTAATAACCTTACAGTGGCCTTTAAGTGTTCAAGTAAAAGGAAGAGCTGCACATCTCTCACTTTAAATCAAAAGCTAGAAATGATTCAGCGTAGTCAGGAAGGCACATCAAAAGCTGAACAAGGCCAAAAGCTAGGCCTCTTGCACCAACCATCAGCCAAGGGGTGGATTCAGAGGAAGAGATCTTGAAGGAAATGACAAGTGCTACTCCAGTGAACACACGAATGATAAGGAAAGAAACGGCCTTATTGCTGATCTGGAGAAAGTTTCAGCGGTCTGGATGGCAGAACACACCTGGCACAACACTCCCTTAAGCCAAAGCTAATCCAGAGCAAGGCCCGAACTGTCTTCAGTTCCGTGAAGGCTGAGAGAGGTGAGGAAGCCGCAGAAGAAACGTGTGGCACTAGCAGAGGTTGGTTCACGGGGCTGAAGGAAAGAAGCCATCTCCATAACACAGAAGTGCAGGGTGAAGCGGCAGGTGCTCGTGTAGAAGCTGCAGCAAGCTATCCAGAAGATCTAGCTCAGGTCATTCATTCATGAAGGTGGCTACACTAAACCGCCGATGTTCAGTCCAGGTGGAAGCGCCGGTCGGGGGAAGATGCCGTGTAGGGCTTCGGTAGCCAGAGAGGAGAAGTCAATGCCTGACCTCGAAGCTTCAAGGGACAGGCTGACTCCCTTGTTAGGGGCTAGTGCAGCTGGTGTCTTTGAGTGGAAGCCACTGCTCATTTACTGTTCTGAAAATCCGAGGGTCCCTAAGAGTTATGCTAAGCCTACTCTGCCCGTGCTCTGCAGATGGAACAACAAAGCCTGGATGACAGCACATCTGTTTACAACATGGTTTGTTGAATATCTGAAGCCAGCTGTGGAGACCCACTGCTCAGAAAAAAAAGATCCCTTTCAAAACATTAGTGCTCACTGGCAGTGCACCTGGTCACCCAAGAGCTCTGATGGCGTGGAGATGTACGACGAGATGAATGCTGTTTTCATAACGTCCACTCTGCAGCCCGTGGACCAAGGAGTCATTTCCACATTCAGGTCTTATTACTGAAGAAATACATCTGGCTGGATGAGCTGCCGTAGACAGTGAGTCGTCTGACGGATCTGGACCAAGTCAACTGGAAACCTTCACCATTCTAGAGAACACTGAGAACATTCCTGATTCACGGGAGAGGTCAAGATAGTGACGTTAACAGGAGTGTGGGAAAAGTGGATTCCAACCTTCATGGAGGAGTGGGGAGGGTTCTAGACTCGAGTGGGGGACGCAGCTGCAGATGGGGTGGAGACAGCGGGTGAGCTGGGATTGGAAGTGGAGCCTGAAGATGGGACTGAATTGCTAGAAACTCGTGGTAAATTTGAACAGAGGAGGAGTTGCTTCTCATGGAAAGAGAGTGGCTCCTGGAGATGGAATCTGCTCCTGGTGAAGGTGCCGTGAAGACTGCTGACATGACAACGAAGCACTCAGAACGTTCTGTACACTTAAGTGAGAAAGCAGCGGTGGGGTTTGGGAGCACGGACTCCAATTCTGAAAGAGGTTCCACTGTGGCTAAAATGCTATCAAGCAGCATCACCTGCTGCAGAGAAACTGCTCATGAAAGGGAGAGTCAATTGATGTGGCACACGATGTGTTGTCTTGTTTTAAGAAATTGCCACAGCCATGCCAACCTTCAGCGACCCCCACCCCGATCAGTCAGCAGCCACCACCATCGAGGCAAGACCCTCCCGCAGCAAAGATGACCTGCCGGAAGCTCAGATGATGGTTCATGTGTGGTTTTTTTTTTTTTTTTTTTTTTTTTTTTTTTTTTTTTGCAATAAAGCACTTTTAAACTGAGATATGTAAGGTTGTTTTAGACATAATGCGATTGTACACTTAATAGAGTACAGTGTAGTGTAAACAGAACTTTTATGTGTACTGGGAAGCCAAAAAATTCATTTGGCTGGCTTTATTGTGGTATTTGCTTTCTTGTCATGGCCTGGAACCAAACCAGCAGTATCTCTGAGATGTGCCTATACTGTTTTTTTTGTATCTTGAAATAGTTTTTCCTATTTTTATGTCCCAGTATTAAACCCAAACCTTTATGAGTCCAAGTTAGCAAGACTTACTTTCTTTCTTTCTTTCTTTCTTTCTTTCTTTCTTTCTTTCTTTCTT